TATAATAAGTATTACCCTTATCTGAGTTCAGAGGTAGACATTTAGCCACCTTGCGCACACACCTGTGACAGCTTCACTGCTAAGTAAAGTGAGATTAAAATATGTAAACTACTTCTTCAGTCTTTTGGTAGTGCAGGAATTCTGATGTCACTCATCTTCCTTGGAGAAACAGAACAGGATTTTTCATTCTTAAAGCATGAATTACCTAATTGTTTTCTGAGTGATTTGAGATTCATCAGTATTATGGTTTGGAATACTTGTTTTCAGTAATGACAGAGTATTTTCTTAGAATCATAGAATCATTGAGGTTGGAAAAGACCTCTAAGATCATCGAGTCCAACCGTCAACCCAACACCACCACCCACTAAACCATGTCCCTAATATCGCTTGTTACTTGGGAGGAGAGACCAACACCCACCTCGCTACAACCTCCTTTCAGGTAGTTGTAGAGAGCGATGAGGTCTCCCCTCAGCCTCCTCTTCTCCAGGCTAAACAACCCCAGTTCCCTCAGCCGCTCCTCATCAGACTTGTGCTCCAGACCCCTCACCAGCCTCGTTGCCCTTCTCTGGACACGCTCCAGCACCTCAACGTCCTTCTTGTAGTGAGGGGCCCAAAACTGAACACAGTATTCGAGGTGCAGCCTTACCAGTGCCGAGTACAGGGGCACACTGAATGCTTCTTGAATCAGAATGTATTTGAAATCTTTCCCTTGGGGCTGTTGCATGTTATTTTTTCTTCTGTGTAGTTTCTGCTGTCTTTTGAAGTCTGTAGTTTTGCTGCGCTAATAACCATTTTGCCCAGATTTGTCTTTAGCTCAGATTTGTAGGATTTTCATGTCCTAGATGAAAAAAATTCACTTGTAAAGTTCTCTTTGTGCTTGCTGTTTGGTGCACAGCTTAATGTTTTAAGGCAAGTGCAATGAAGGAAGAAGCCTCAATTATGTCCTGTGCATTAACAATTTAGCAAAATGTATCCCTGTCTCTTCATGTCTTTGTTTTCCCACTTGGGAGTGTAGGCCAGCATGTGCATCCACTCCCAAAGCTGGGGAGTAATTGTACAAATGCATTCACTTTTGCCTTGACCAGCACAGTAACTTAAACATTTTAGTAACTGTTGAAGGCAGGCTCCAGTGCAGCAATGTCTTCCTGCCTTTAAAAGATAACAGAGGGAAGAGGAATTAAGCACAGAAGCCGAGGTGCATTCATTTCCATTCAGACAAGTGCCGTACGCAGCAGTCACTAGCAAATACAGAACAGTTGGTCTCACTATTAGTACTAGATCATGCATTTTGGATACACGGCTGTTCACCTGCCTTGGTTCTCAACAAAGACCTCTGATTTAAGAATTGGATCCTTGGTTTTTTGCAGTGTGATGCGTTAATAATCATTAAGGTAACAAGAAATGAATTTGTTCTTCCTGGCTTCATGACACTGTACGAACCAGTCTGAAGTTAGTTAGGAGACTCCTCTCCCCTTTCCCTCATTGCGTGCAACTTCCTGATTGTCTGTCCCAAACCTTTGATGTTAGCTGCCAACATGTGGTTATGACTAGAAAGTAACTCCTTTTAAATTTTGTAAAATTTAATTCTGTTCCTCCGATAAATAGGTACATAAGGAACTATATGTGTAAAACCATCACGAAATTCCTGACCACCTTACCACCTTACATACCATTATGTGAAATATAGTAATTGTTACTGGGTTGTGTTCTCTTTTCTAGTTTCCAAATAAAACAGTAGCCCAAGTTGCCTGCAGTATGCTGAACATGCTGATACATTATGTACATAGACTTCAAGTGTATCAAGCTGATTCACCTTTAAGAATTATTCAAGTAAGTAATTTTCAAAAATTTCAAAATTTTAATTCTTTTAAATGTAACAGTAAAATGTATTTCACTGCAATTAAAATAGCAGAATGTTGACAAGTATGTTTCACAAAATGTTAAATTAGTAGAAACATAATCTTACTGAACATTAATTGTGTGGGTTCACATTGCACTTACTTGCCGACTCCAATATTAACATGTAAAATGGCTATACCATGCTTCTTTTTTCTCCAGTACAACTATGACATTATTTACATGAGAATATCGTCAATAAAGTGCAATTTTTTAATATTAAATATCTTCAAATACGTTTAAGTTTAGTGAGAAAGCGATTACTTAAACAGATCTGCAGTTGTATTTTGCATATCCATATGCAAAGCACTTTGCATTAAAGTGTTTCAGTATAAAGCAAAAATAATTATTTTGAATACACTTTAAATAACAAGGAAGTAGACAATGGCCTCTGTGAGTCTGAACCACAGAGAAAAGATAGAGGTCTCCCAGGTAACCAGAAGGAGAATTGTGTGGAAGCTTCTTAAGAGGTATAGCAAGCATTTTTCTAGTAGTTCTAAGAAATAATGGAGCTCAAATAGCCCCGTACACAAACCCACATCAGGCTCCTTCCTGCACCCTACAAGTGTGTTGAATCAAGTTCTCTTCCTGCCTGAATATTTGGAGTAGCTGTGTAATTTCATTGTCCATAATGCACCTACGTCAGTCAAGCAGAACGTATTCCTTCCATGTCTTCTGTAAAATTCAATTAAAAGGATTTTATTTAAAAAAAAAAAAAAGTGGCAAGGAATACTGTAATTTGTCTCAAAATAACTTTATTAGAATTTAACCATGAATCTAGTATTGTGTCACATTTACCTGCTTAAAAATTTATTTTAAATAATTAAATTGTATTTTTAAAGAAATGCTATATTTTCCCCAGATTCTGATAGCAACTATTACCTATCTGCTACCCAGTACGGAAGCTTCCTCTTATGAACAGGACAAAAGGGTAAACATTTTTCATTTCTTTTTAATGTGTGAGTTTAATGGCAAAGGTGTGTGATGTAACATTGGTACAAATTTAAGCTGTGCCTTAAAGTAGGGATTCAGCTCTTTAAGTATAATACAGCATAGTCTTCTCAGAATTCCAGCAATATTCTTTATGCAAGTGAATTTCTGAAGTTTTTGTAGGAAAATATGCATTTAAAATTAATTGAGATTGATTGTTTTCAATAATTAGAAAGTTGTCTTTTTCCTTATCCTCAGTGAACTTACAAGCACAGAAAGTAATGTAGACTTTTCAAACTTGTCTTATAGCGAAAATACATTCTCAACTTGTAAAGAACACCTTTCAGAATATTCATAAGATTATGATTTTTTGCATTTCCTATTTTAAGTACATTCTTGAGCAAGATAGCCTGTAATCTTCAGATGAATTTGATTGTCATCCTTCAAAACAATTGCTATCTTTTTGTATTTTCAGTGGGCCTGAGTCCCCTAGCTAAGGCCAGCTCCTTCGTCACCTGATACTCACAGTAGTACTTCTGTCTCCTGAAAGCTGTATCTCTTCTGAATTATTTGGCTTTGCTCTAGGACTGTGGGACACAGCGGTCATTTAAATTTGGGCACTTTGGTGCAGTTTGTTGCTGGCAGCTCTGTCGTTCTGGGCCACCTATTCCCACGAGAGCTGGCATTCATGGCAGGCTCATTTTGGCCTCCAGAGCTCCGTTTGGCCTCTCCTCTCTGCTTGCGAGGAGGCAGTGGCTGTTGTAGACTATAGCAGTATGCCAAGCTAGTCATCTTTCCACTTGAGATGCTTCCCATAAGTCAGTAAGTTTCCCCATGAACTAATGCTGATCATTGTACATGAAATACCATATCAAAAATTGGCTTACCTAGTTTGACAACTTAGTCCTAACGGGTTTCTTAAAAATTGGTTTAATATAAAAATACTCAGAGCTTTTCATCATTAGGTTTATTATATGGTGTCTCTGAGAGACAAACTTGTAATGTGTTATGTGAAATGAGTATGATGTTTATATGTCATTTATTAGTAACTTAGTTAAGTGGATTTTCTTTGAAAGACTTTTATTTAACTTGGGAAATATTTCAGAGAATCTTGCAGCTATTTATCTGAATTGTTTCCTCTTTCACAGCTAAGTTTTAAAAATTAAAAATAATTATTTGAAGCCAGTAAGTTATTAATAATTTGGTGTGTATGTGTGTCTTAATTTAATTCTGTTCTACAGTCTTTAAAAACATCCCCTAGAGGGAGTTGGTTCTTTTGCTGACCGAGTAGCCTACAATACAGAAAACAGTTGGATTTCTTTCAGATGATACCTGGTGCTGCGTAGCATTATTGACATGTTGCGAAGGAAATTCTGTGTTATTTATAAAGCATTAAATGCAGCTGAAATAGTTCAGTTTTGTGTAATCCTTGATTCACTTTACAGTGAGATTTATGTGCAGAATGGTGCATCAGCCTTAATTTGTACCTGTGTAATCTGTCATTTTAAAAACAGCACCCTACAAATCAATTTTGAAAAATCGTGGATATCCTCTTAAGCACAGTATCTGGTCACAGACTTACCATGATGAGAAACTGTTGTATGGATGGTCTTTGTTAAATATCTCAGTAGCCAAAGCTTTTACTGATGCTGTAGGTTTTGAAGATACAGTGGCTTTTAAACAAGCGTGACCTGCCATTACTGCAGCAGGCTGACTCTACTGAATTAAGGAAAGAAAGTAAAACAGAGAGGTAAAATACAGTGATAAATGTGAAGTAGCAGGTGCTGGTTTAATTGATTTGTAATTGAAAGTGTTTGTTCCAGTTGGTGGTTTCTTTACTTCTGTGCTTATTGGATTGGATAATGGCCTTGCCATTAAAGACCTTGCTGCAGCCTCTTCACACTACAGGAGCAGAAAATGATAAGACTGAAAGATCCGTTCTTAATTGTATATATAAGGTACCTGTTTCTTTACTCACTAAATGAGAATTTCTATGTATGGAGGCAGTGCCAGTTTTCATGGAAATGAAGACAGAACTTTTTTGTAAGCTGACCTCCGTTCTACTGCTGAAATGTGGAGTGCTGTATTAGTTCTTGTACGCGTTACTGTAACTGCTTGATCTTTGGTATATTTGGAATTGTTAATTTTGTCTTATGTTTTGTGACATTTAACCAAGTTACTTTTTGTATGTCATACCGAGCAGATATTTGTGTTGCAGAAGACCAGCTATACATTTAAGACAGATGAGGAAGTAGCTTTTTTATACCAAGCAATTTTATTTAGCAATAAGCAAAGTAAAAAGCACCAAGTTATAATTGCTGTCTGTAGGGACACAGAACAAAGATAGCTATTTTTTTTGCAAGGGAAGGGGATTAAAACCTCCAGCAGCTTAGACCTAGCATATGTAATTAAAGAAGATAGGAGATCTAAAAATAAAGGTAGCTTAGTGATTTGTTGTAAGTTTTATTTCTTGTTTCTTTATTGTTAAATTCCACTTCAGTGTAGACGCTGTTTTAACAATTTTCTTTGCAGACCAGGTTTTGCTTCTGTTAACATCAAGCATCTAAAATTTTACAACATTGTGTCCTCTTAGACCTAGCATATGTAATTAAAGAAGATAGGAGATCTAAAAATAAAGGTAGCTTAGTGATTTGTTGTAAGTTTTATTTCTTGTTTCTTTATTGTTAAATTCCACTTCAGTGTAGACGCTGTTTTAACAATTTTCTTTGCAGACCAGGTTTTGCTTCTGTTAACATCAAGCATCTAAAATTTTCCAACATTGTGTCCTGCCTACCTGGTTCTAACAAATCAATTAAAAAATGTAAATAAAAATAACCTTCATTTCTTATAAAACTATCAAGTAGAAATTTCAGTAGTTAATGTCATGAAATTCCTTTTTTGTTTTAGGTTCTGCATGGATGTGTCTATGGATCTCAGTGTTTTAGCAACCCTAAATATTTTCCTCTAAGCCTTTCTGATTTGGCATGTGTGGATTACGATCCTTTTATGCATTTAGAAAGCTTGAAGGAACCAGAACCACTGCATTCGCCAGACTCGGAGAGGTCTTCTAAACTTCAGCCAGTCACTGAAGGTTTGTCAAATTGCCTAAATACATTTTCTTTCAAAAAGATTTTATCTTGGTTTCCAGTATTGAAGTGTTTGTCTAAAGCATAAGTTTTAAATTATACCTAGACACTAGGTAAGAACCATTAGTATGGAATGAGCTAACATAATTTTGAGCAATTACTATGCAATTAACTGAAATTATCTTCTGAACAACATGAAGATCGATTTGATATGGATTCTTCTGTTCTCTGTGTATCAGCAAAAAGTGTTAAGTACTACAACATGGATAAATGTTGCTTTTCATTTTACTTTCAGTAAATTAATCTATTTTTTCTTAATTTTGCTCCTTTTTCTAAGAATATTTTGGATTTTTTTTTTCCTATCTGAGCTTGCAATGTTGAAAGCCCTCTGAATATTTTTTTTTAACCTATCATAATTTGTTGTCAATCT